AAGTTATGTCCCTTGGTGAATAGAATTATTTTTTTGTTTAAAGTTGTATCCATTTAATTATACCTATTATCTTTTCAACAATTCTTTTCATGAAAAATTTTAATTCTTCATAAAAAAGTATTAACCTTTTGGTTAATTTTTTGTCCTCTATATATAGACTAGTTAAGGCACAAATATGAGTGAGGACTTAGTACTTTGAAATAAGAAAAAACACTTAAAAAGTTCCTTCGAAATTCATTATTTCCGATGATAGAAAAAGACAAGATTGTGTTTGATTGATCGCTAATGTTTTGCTTACTGTTATGATTGTTTGTTTTTGTATCCTGAGAGAATGAAGTCCATCGTTACTCAAAGCACCGAGGAGATGATAAATCTATCTTAAAGAAACTATTCATACAAGCCTCAATAAAATCCTTTATCTGTTTATCTAACTTTGTTTGATTACATGTTTCTTAATTTTAATTTCTTTATTTATTTTACTTCGTTCGATTCAATAATAATATTTGTTTATTTTTATTATTATTTTGTTTATCAGATTAACATTTTATCTAACATCATTCTTACTCTCCAAGAAAACCAATATGTTCAAATTTTTCTCTATCATGACATAAATTTTTTCTTCCTAATTAGAAGAAATGAACCGTCGAAAACTCAAATATTTTTTTTAAAGCGAGAGATGACTCCCCTAATATTTTCCTAGGATTGCAGATTTTTCTACTCTTACATTTTTTTAACATAAAAAATGTCCCAAAAAAATCATTTTATAATCTTTTCCTAACTAAAAGAAGTTGTTATACCCATAATAATATATAATATATAGATGGAATAAGCTAAAAAAATACTCCAACAATCGCTATCCTAACCATCCTACACATGTGGACATGACTTTAAGGGGGAGTTTGGTTCACAAAATGTAATATTACCTTTAGAAATAACATTAGTGGAATGTAATATTATTATGAGAATATTGTATTATCTTGTTTAGTTTGTTTAGCGGGAATGTAAAATTACAGTTTTTTGTTGGGAGAATATGAGATTACTTGAATGAATATTTTACCAAATTATCCTTGTGATATATGTTTTTTTAAAGAATTAAAAATTTAATATTAAATTATAAATATTTGAATAAAAAATCATAAAACTATTTTAATCGTTATACTATCTAACTTTTGAGAAAAATACATTTAATATATAATTAATGTATTAAGCTTATATTTTTAAATAATTTTCATAAGTATCATATTTATTTATAATATGATATGATATGATGATATGATATGATATGATATGATATGATATGATATGATATGATATGATATGATATGATATGATATGATATGATATGATATGATATGATATGATATGATATGATATGATATAATGGTCTTGAGTGGTATTAGTTTTCAATGTATAAGATCTATTTTTTAATAACTTAAAGTTAGATATTTTTTTAAATAATTACATTTTTATAATAATATTATTTTCACCTTATAAAATTATAAATAATTAATATATTGAATATTAAAAATATAAAATAATTTAAAATAATCAAATTTATTAATATTTTATTAAATTAAACTCTTTGTTTATTATTATTATGTTTATAATTTTGAGTAAAGTAAAAAATAATAATCGAAAAGAAACATTATATAAAGAACATTAGTCTAGGGATATTTTTGTCCAATGTAGTGGGAATTGTCTAATACATAAGAATTTGGAGATAATGACATTCTCACCATTTAACTAAAAAATGCTACTATTGGGAAAAGATTATTCCTTGGTAATAATCTTTTCCATGAAGTAAACGTTGGAATAATATTCCAGAAAAGATTATTACGCTTGGTAATAATGTTTTTCGCAAACCATATGCCCTAAAAACAATAAGGTAAATTATCTTCCATCTTCCTCGACAAAATGGGGATTTTAGTCTTTTCTTTTCTCTAAAAGGCCCCACTAGTGTATCACTCTAACTCTAAGACCGTCCATCATGATGGGTGTTTTTTTATTGTGACATGTGATTATCTATCTAAGGCCATCTCCAGTCCTCATCTCTACTCTATAGTATCTCTATCTCTACTCTAAAGATGAAACAATAATTCATCTCCAACACTATCTCTACATTACCATCAACTCTATTTTATTCACAATATTTAACTATTATAATATTGATTTTGTAAATATAAAATAAAACATATACATTTCTAATAAATATCAAGATAAACGGTATAAATAAAACATTCATAAATAACAATGTGAAAATACAATTAAATAAGAAAATTACCATTCATAATAATAATACGAAAAAATATAAGTTACATAATTATATATTTTAATTCTCGGAATTAGAAAATTCATTCCACAAATTCACAATCTATGTGATTTGTGCTTGCAAAAAAAATTAGTATGTGTATTTATCTAATTTCAATGTATTTTTATATATCTTGCAAATTAATCTAGTTGAATTTAAAAAAAATCAGAAAAATTACAAAAAAAACGGTATGTTTATTTATCTTAAAAAAATAAAAAAGAAATTGTAGCGCATGCTACAGTGTTGCGCCAGATATGGCGCGCACTGTAGCAATTCTCCAAAGTGGAGATGGTTTTTGGCGATGGGCTAGAGAGAATACTGTTTCCAAAGTGGAGATATTCTACAAAGTAGAGCAACATTGGAGATGCCCTAAGTTAAAACATTAAATTATTATAATTATCATAATCACCATCTCTTTCATTGAACCTCAACACCTTTAGGGGTCGTTTAGTTCACGAAATGTAGGATTATCATTAGAAATAAAATTATCGAAATGTTACATTACTTAACACGTTATTGGGAATATTGCATTATCTTGTTTGGTTTGTTTGACAAGAATATAAGATTACAGTATTTGGATGAAGGAATATAAGATAAGAAAAATATATGTTTTACCAAATTGTCCTTGAGATAGATTTTCTTTTTTAACAAATGAATGTTCATAGAAAACATATTTTTTATAATTTATATACTTTTAATAAAATTTGTACACAAATAACTTAATATATATTTTTATTATATCTAATTTTTTATTTCTTTGAAAATAGTAAAACATATTTACACCAATATAATTATGTTTTTAATTATAGATTATAAAATATTAGGAGATGTACATACTTACACCGGTGTAAGTATGTGTTTATTTTTATGTTGGGAGATATACATACTTGCACCGGTGTAAATATAAGTTTATTTCTAAGTTGTGAAATGTACATACTTACACCGATATAAGTATGTGTTAATTGATACACTTTTTTTATTTATGCTACATGTATGGGTTGAAAAACAAAATATCATATCAAATTATATGATCAAATTAATAGAAAATATTAGAAAATATAATATGATTTTTTACGAAAATTAATCTTAAATGATACATGTAATAAAATATATACAAAAGATATAATTTAAATCGAACACATACATAAAAATAATCAAAATAAAATAAATTTTTTTATATATTTTTATTTTATATGCATCATATTATTTTATAATAAGTATTGAAAATTATAAATCATTAAAAATCAATAGAATAGATTTATACTCGTGTAGTTATATACAAAAGGAATGATTGTTTTGAAATAATTATATTATTTAGGGGTTTTATTGTCCAAATGGAGGAAATTATCTAATACCTAAGAAAAGGGAGGGAATGGAATTCCTGGAATTCAAGGTAAAAAAAACATTGTTGGTAATATTTCATTACCTTTTGGTGGGAATGCTTTTGAATCAAACATAGTATATGATTCTGGAAAAAAATTATTCCCCTTAATAATGATCTTTCCTTGATCCAAACATCCTTAATGTTAGATATGGAAAATGCTAATATTTGATGATATATGGGGTAATTTCAGTACATTTATTTCATAAGTAATCTTATACTATCTTGATAATATAAAATTTGTGACAGTTTCATTTTTTTTCAATGACTTTAATATATTTTCGTTAAACCAAAATGTTAAAATAATAATTACTAGTGAATCACATTCTCATATATTATCTCAAATATTTTTTAATTATATTTATATATTTAAATGAAATTTATATGTTGTTATTATTATTTTGGATAAGTATCTGTTGTTATTGTTATTAGTGAGGGAAACTTAACATTTGACTATTATATTATACTTTATCAATGGCATTACATTAATTTTTAATTAATTAATTATTTATTATAGATGGGTTTTCCCATTATTAATTATTTATTTGTTGTTAAAATTAATAGTTTATATTATTATTGGGTACTTACTTCATTGATTAAATGAATCGTTATTGTTTCTAAAAGTTACGGGTTCGAACAACAACGATTGTAACATGGTGATTGAGTGTTCATTATCAAATGATTATGAGTATTTAAAACAAATTCTACTTTATAATATTTTAGTTTAATAAAAAATACTATTATTGATTAGTGTAGTTTTAATTTTTTTACGTCATTATTTATGATTAAGAATAATTAAATAATATTTTAAATAAACTGACATGTAATAAACAAAATAATAAAATATTATATGTCAATCAAATAAAAAATAGAATTACCAGTCGAAACCAAATATGGGATAAAAATGGCTTCCAAAGTTGTTGGAAAATTATTGCAAAACCTAGAAATAGTAGAAGGAGCCCACCACAGAAAATAAAAATATAAAATCTCTTTTAAACAATTCCACTAATTATTTTCTGTTTGACATTTTAGTCCTCTTCCCACAAAACAACCTTCGCTATTTCCGCATTTCCTAAACCAACGAGATTTTGTTTTCTTTATTAAACTGCGTTCTTTAATTCTCATTCACAGATTATTTTCTCTCCTTTTTCTCTTTGAACTTGAAAGACTTCGCCTTGCTTCAGGTATTAGAGCTCAGGTTTTCTCGTACTTTCCTTCCACTTTCATTGCTTTCTTTTCACATAAATTAAAAAGACCAACTTTCTGGTGTTTGTCTTCATCTGTGTGTGTATATATATATGTATGAATATGTAGACTCTTTTATCTCAATAGATTTCGCCTGCGAATTGTGTATATAAAGAAGGATCCCCACCTGGGTCTCCATTCTCAGCTGGTGATTCTTCAATTTCCTTCTCTCTTTTTTTTCTTTTTTCAGGTGCCATTTTTTATCTCCATATTTCATATGTTTACTTCGTGGGATCTTCTGGGTTTTTGTTTTATTTATTGTTATTAACCTGGCATTTGGTTGAAAGCAGAAACATGGGCTATATGTAAAAGGTTTGTGAAGGTAAATTTGAGTGGTGAAACCATGGAGAAATGCGTAGAGTGTTCTTCAAAGCAAGGGAAAGGGAAGAGATTATGGAAGAAGATGAAGTTTCAGCTGGTGGAATACCACTCATTGCCGGCATATTTGAGGGACAATGAGTATATTATTGGCCATTATAGATCAGAATGGCCAATGAAGCAGCTTTTACTCAGTGCCTTCTCGATCCACAACGAGACTTTGAACGTTTGGACGTAAGTTTTAAAACCCATTTTATGTTTGTACCATGATAATGTTAAGAGTAAGACCATTAACTTGTACAGGCATTTGATTGGGTTCTTCATCTTCCTTTCCCTTACCATATACACTGCAATGAAGATTCCGAAGGTTGTTGATATTCATGATATATTGAGAAGGGCTGATTTGCAAAAATTGCATTCCCAACTCATAACATGCCTGCCTTCGTTACCGAATATCTCTAATTTACACAATCTCAGTGACGAGCTGAAGACTACTCTCCCGTCACTCTCCAATGTCGGTCAACTTCTTTATAATTGTTTGCCTGACCGTTTCTCCACTACGAATCAATCCAGTGTATGTGTTTTGCTAACATTGTTTTATTGTTTTTCAATACTTGATCATGAATTTGAGGTTTTGGTCATTCTGTCTCATTAACTTTATGTTAAGATAATTGCAGAGAAGTATGAAGGAGGATGTGGGAAGCATAATAGCGCCGTTGATGGTGAGACCGATAACTCGATGGCCGTTTTTTGCCTTTTTGTGTGGTGCGATGTTTTGTCTATTAGCTAGCAGCGCGTGTCACCTCTTGTCGTGCCACTCCGAGCGCATATCATATATCGTTCGCAGGCTAGACTATGCCGGCATTGCTGCGCTTATTTCGACTTCCTTCTACCCACCCGTGTATTACTCCTTCATATGTGAACCATTCTTTTTAAACCTATACTTGGGATTCATAACCATCCTCGGAGTTGCGACGATCATGTTTTCCTTCTCACCAGGGTTCCATCGACCTGAATTCCGAACCCTTCGTGCATCCCTCTTCTTCGGGATGGGGATGTCGGGTGTAGCACCGATATTTCACAAGCTTACCTTGTTCTGGCACCAACCCGAAGCACTTCATACCACCTGGTACGAGGTTGTGATGGGGATATTGTATAGTGCTGGAGCTTTGGTGTATGCAACAAGGATACCGGAGCGGTGGATGCCGGGGAAATTCGACATTGCGGGGCAAAGTCATCAGCTATTCCACGTCTTGGTTGTCGCTGGGGCATACACTCATTATTGTGCGGGTCTGATATACCTCAAATGGAGGGATGTACACGGATGTTAAACAACTTAGATTGTTGGATGAGTAGTGATGATTCCTCTGAAAGTATTCTTTTTTTCTTCTTAGTGGCAGAAGTAGAGGGAAGGGACGGATACAGTGGTACTGTGTTCAATTCAACCCAACCCAACGTATATGATTCTTCGAAAAACAATCTGAAAGTGGAGCATTAATATTATTCTATGAAAATGGAAGTAACACGGTAAGTTGCTTGCAGAGCTTTCTTCATTGATGACAAGCCACAGAAACAAAAAGATATTGCTATTGCTTTCTTTGAGAGCCGAACTCAAGACATCCCGCTCACTAAACAGGCGCACTAACCAACTAAGCATGAGAGCAGATTTGCGACAGCAATTGGTGCTCAAATCTCAAGTACCTTGTATATTACCCATCACTTGGCCAGTTTTCTGGTAGCACTTACAATGCACTGTCAACTTCAGTTTTGATATTGTATAATATTAAATACCCACACAATATTAATAAAATAATATTTTCTCTGTCATAATTATTTTAACTTTTTAAACAAAAATGATAAATATTAACATTTCTTTACCCCTTAAAAAATTAAACTCTTTTAAGAAAAACTTATCATTTCAACTCTTTCATATGAAATGATTTATAGAAAATTTAACATTATAATACATGATAAATTTACCAAGAATATTAGATAGATGGAGTATGTCATAACCGTTTTTAGGTTGGAAACAATTGTTTATTGTTTAAAATGGATGATTTTAAATTAAATTGGATAAAATTGAAAGGAGTCGCCATCAACCTTTGGGTTAGGTAGGTCGAATATATAAAAAGTCTTTTAAAAACAATTTTAAGAAAATTCATTTTTTAAGACAAATACTTGTCTGCGTTTACCAAAGATTTGATTAAAACGAGTTCGGGAGTCGGTTACGCGTGGGGAATGATTAGCACCCCCACAGCGCCCAAAATTAGTACTGTGTCGCTTACTCATTGTCGTAATGGTGGAAATCCTGAATTAAATATCAAGTTAAAATATGATCCATTTATTAAATATTAATTAATTGCTTCAAATTAATAACTTAAAGGAGGAAATTTAAAGGACTGAAATAAGAACAAATAAATATTACAAACCTAAATACAAATAGCAAAAATATGTATTTAAATTTATAAAGACCAAAATAGAAAAAAAAAACAAAAACTTTAAGTATTAAAATAGAAAAAATAGAAAATTAAAAGACTAAAATAGCACAAACAAAAATTTAAAAAGCTAGACTAGTAAAAATAGAAATTTTGAAGACCAAATATCACAAAATGAAATTTAAAAGACTAAAATGGAAAAAACAGAAAATTTTAAGTTTTAAAACAGTAATTACAAAAACTAAAAGGACTAAAATGATATTAATAAGCATTTAAAGTACTAAAATAACAAAAAAAACAGAAAGTTAAATTATTAAAATAACAAAAACATACATTTAAAGGACTAAAAAAATAGAAACTTAAAGAGTTAAATAGTACAAAATAGAAACTAAAATGACTAAAACAATAATTACAAATAAACTATAACCCATATTATAAATATTAAACATTTCAGGTACTGGAAATAGAAAATAACCCAAAAATAATATTTAGGACTAAACTGAAATAAACAAAAACATGAAGCCCGAAACATAAATAAACCAACTGTAAAATAGTGACTAAAATGATAAATTTACAAATCATGTAACCAAATTCAAATATTAACATACTATATAATAATATGACTAAATTATAACATACACAAAAATAAGAGATCAAAATAAAATATATTAAAATTGCATTGATGACTAAATTAAAACAAAATACAAGATAAAGAGGACCTATTTCATAGATATCCCATGTGCGAGGTTTGCTCACTGAGTCCTTCATGAAACGACATCGTTTCATTTGATATATATATGCCCCAAACAGGCTTATATCCCACATGTTTCCTCATTTGTTTCTCTGTATGAAAGAGAGAAAAAAAGAGAAGGGAGAGAGTTCTAAAGAACTCTTAAGAACCGGCGATCCTCTGTCGTGCCGGCCACCGATGATCGACGGTGACCGTCGTCTGCCGGTGCCGGAGGAAAGAGAAAATAATGCTACCGAAGCATTTTTTAGCCACGAGTATGAATCTGGGCTTTATTTGGCCTGAAGAGGTTTCAAACGTCGGAGATCTACGAAGAAACATTTCGTTTCTTCGACTCCGACGACGTTTGATGTTTTCGGCGGTCCATCAAGGTGACTTCTCTCTTTTTCTTCTTTAGCTTTCCCAAACCCGAGCCTTTTTTCAATTTTTTTGTAGACACTCAAACTGAATCTCTATTTTTCTCCCCCTCTTTTTTTATGTGAATTCCCCCGTCTATTTATGGTCGACGAATAGTGGTCTTTCCACTAATTTTCGAATATTGGGTAGGATAACACACTGGTTTTTTCGGGATTTTAGTGTTTAAAAAATGTTAATGGATTTGGTTTGTTTTGTCTTGTGAGTGATATTTGGCGTAGGTGATGACATCAATGACCATTGGTGACTCTACGGTGGCTCGACGGTGATTTGGTTATCGTTCGGTGGCTCCGGTGCCAGTGGGAATCTGGATGGTCACTTGCGGCTTGTTTTAGTTTAAGGTTTCAAAACCCTAAAGTTATTGAGTTATTGAATTGGACCGGTTCAAGTCCTTTCCAGATCGGGTCGGATCTGGACCTGAACTGGGTCTGGATCGGGTCTCCTCCGGGTCGGGTCATGTACCTCAGGTCTAGCTTCAATCGGGTTAAGCTCCATTTGGGTTCCAGTGGATTTGGGTTGAATTGTAACTGGGACTGAGCCTTGTTGTATTTTGGCATGCATGATAATAATATTAATAATAATAATAATAATAATAATAATAATAATAATAATAATAATAATTAATAATATTTGTTCGACCCGGACAAAAGCGGGTGTCTATAGAGTACAAGACATATTATCTTAAAATTCTATTAATAAATTTTGTTTATTCAATTGATATTATTATTTTGGTATTAAAATGTAAGCCTCTACTTAAGTCTAGTTAGGGATTTCTACACTATCTTGACTCATGTCTTCTTGCAGTAGCATTTGTAGTTAAGGATGGACTTACATAGGACAGGTAGGAGCAGTTACCCTTTTCAAAAATATTTTAGATTTATTTTATGTATTTTTTATTAAAAATTTATTTATTTTATTTAAAATTTATCTCTTAAAATTTTATAAATTCAAATTTATCTCTTAAAATTTTATAAATTCAAATTTATCTTTAAATATAAAATCGGTGTCCGTAATCTGCATGTAGCTCGGATGATGGCCATTGAATTGTTTGCAGCCCAAGGGTGGCTGTTTGCATGAGGCGATGTAATCCGCTACTTTGTTAGCTTCGTGAGGTGTGGAGACAAGTTGGATGTCTCACTCCTAAATAAAGATAATTTTTATACACAATTAATATTATTTTCGATATTACATATAAAAATATAAAAATAAATATATTTAAATGTATAATATTCTTTAATTTAAGGATGAAAATAAATTTAAATAAAAGAAAACGCAAAATCTATTAATACAAATAGTAATATTTTTTAAGAAAATTACTAACTATTTTAAATAGGATACGCGAGAAAAGAAAACCCAATATTTTAATTCAAAAAATAAATCGGATACCAGTGATTAATTAAAAAAATCCAATATTTTACCATCCTTATATTTATTATTACGTATGAAAATTGACTTCGAACTAAAAATTATGTTTGAAAGCTAATTATATAATATAAAGGTAGCCAAAAATCAAATTACATATTGAACATTGGACACAAAGGTTATATTAAATTATCTCTTGTTTAAGTTCATATAAATTATAATATAAAAATTATCTAAATTTATTTATTTTAATAACATATATCTTATTTAAGATATAAAATTTAACATTTTAGGTTATAGAATACAGAATTTCTAATTTAAGTTTAGGGTTTAATTTTTATTAATATTTTAAAAAGTAAAATTAAAGTTAAAATATATGTATATAAAATAAATTTTACGTTAACATATAATATACATATAAATAATAAATTTACTAATATAACCGTCTAAATTTTCGTTTAATAAATACAATGATATGTTGGTTGGGTTCGGCCCGGCTACTATATTCATTTTTTTAGAGGTATGATACATAAAACAGATCATACACGAAAGTATATTAATATGAGTCTCGTTAAAAATTTTCCTAACCTAAATAAAAGAAAATAATACTCATATTAATACCGAACAACAAATAACATCAGTTCGAGGAACTTAAACAGAGCTAAGGTCTTCTTGTAGGAGCGGAAGATTCAATGAGGGAGGATCACGCAGAAACATATTACCTATAGTTTCCACTCGAACACTCTTTGCTAACATACCAACCACCTTATTATTCTCCCTATTGGTATGCTTAATAAGAACATCCCAATTCCGGCGACGGAGATCATCAAAATGCCATTTAAGGAACTGCAACCCCGTAAAATCATCTCTCAAAACCCGTATTGCCTCTAAACTATCAATCTCAAGAACAACATGCCGGAAACCCGCATCCCAAGCATAATATAGCGCGAGGTAAGCCCCCCACAGTTCAACATCAAAAAGCAAACAAATGTCAATAAATTTAGTGAACCCAAATTTCCACTCACTTCGTTCGTCCCAGGCGATCCCGCCACACCTGGCCAGATCATTCTCGTTACACCAAGCTCCATCGGAGTTGAGTTTAATCCAGTCACGCTGACGAGGAATCCAGTGTAAATTATTCTGGTACGAGTGAATGCCTGCAGCCGATTCATAACGGTTTTTTGTTCTTGCACTCAAAATGAGAGCTACCAGACGGCAACTACCGTCCAACACACCTTCATTGCAACAATTAAAGACAAGGCGTTCCGATCCAACCAAATATTACGAATCACATAGCTAAAAAGATCCCAATGTTCATAGTTGTAACCAATGTATTCCGAACCTGATAAGTTGCAATACACCCAATCTTGAATTTCCATACTTAGAAACTGGTCCAAACGTGCTGGACGAACTAAATTTGACCAAATCAGAGTGGCTACGGGACAGCATTTGAAAACGTGATCCACTTCTTCGACAGTAGTGTCGTAAACCGAGCAGCTGCTGTCTAAGGTGAACTGGCGTTTACATCTCTCGACATTAGTCATGAGCTTGAGATGACATAACAACCACATAAATTCTTTAACACGAGGTAGGCCACAAAATTTATGAATCTACAGGCTTAAGCTCAGACGAACCTTCACTTGAGCGAACCAAGTATGCCGTTTTGACACTAAACAATTTATCTCTATTGCACCTCCACCCAATCAAATCAGTTGAGATGCGAGAAACTGAGCATTTTATACCAACAATCCTAAGAAGGATATCCTGTGGAAGAAGATGGCGAAACAGTGACCAATGCCATTCCCTAGTACTACTAGCCATGGATGCGACAGAATTGTAGCCAATAGTGTTCACCATCTCTGGATTTACATAATCAATAAGCGGTCCAATATCTTCAATCCATATATCACGCCAAAAATCAATCCTCATCCCAGAGCCAACAGACCAAATTAGATTAGCCCGAACGTCATTTCAAATAACACTAAACCCCTTCCAAAACCAATGCCATTCCTAGTACATACTAGCCAGAATGCGACAGAAGTAGCCAGTGTTCATCCATCTCTCCAATATTTACATAATCAATAACGGTCCAATACAATCCAAATCACGCCAAAAATCAATCCTCATCCCAGAGCCAACAGACCAAATTAGATTAGCCCGAACGTCATTTCAAATAACACTAAACCCCTTCCAAAACCGAGAGCAATCGACATTCCGAATCGACAGAGGCACTCCTTCATCACATTTATATTTCGCCTAGATAAAACGAACCCAAAGCACGCCCCTACGCACTATGAAGTGAAAAGCTAATTTCATATGGAAGGCATATTTAAAAGTGTTAATATCTCAAAACCCAAGGTCGCCTAACTGGATCGGCTTACATACATTCTCCCATTTAACTAAATAAACACCATCCTGATCAGCTGTGATTCCCTAGATTAACCGATGAATAAACCCCTCAATGGCGGGACAAGTAGTTTTAGGTAAGATTGTCGTTTGTAAAGTGTAATTAGGAATCATCGCAAGGACACTCTTAGCTAAAAAAATTATTCTGACGAATGATAAACATTTCGCCTTCCACCCACTAAGTTTCCTTTCAATCGCTTGGACAATATAATTATAAGACGCCGAAATAACCCGTTTGTGCAGAATAGGAACGCCAAGATATTTACCTAAGTCAGATACTTCCTCAAAGCCAAATCCAGTACTAATTGACAATCTCAATGCCCCAGGAACATTCTTGGAAAAGAAAATAGTTTTAGCAACACTCACCTTATGTCCGGATGCATGACAAAATTCTCCCATCACCGGTCGAATCGTATGTAATTGATCAATGGAAGCTTCCGTAAACAGAATCATATCGTCTGCAAAAAATAAATGTAAGATATTCGGGCTTCTAGAAGAAGTTTTAAACGGCTTCCATTACCCCTCATCGGTAGCAACATTAATAGATTATGTCGTCCCATAAGTAACACGAATAAGTAAAGAAATAATAACGGGTCGCCCTGATGGATGCCCCGGATTGGAGTGAAAGTTTCAGCCATATCACCATTCCAAAGGATGCAAGACGAGACCGTAGAAACACATTGCATAATCAAAGTTACGCAGAGAAAGAGAAATACCAATGTCATCAAGTGTATCATAGATAAAATCCCACTCTAACCGGTCATTGGTATTTTCAATATCAATCTTTAGCGTTATCCACCCTTTCCTCCATGTTTTACGCCTCATGAAATGAATGATTTATTGGGTAATAAGGATATTATCTGTGATCGATCGACCCAGCACAAAGCTCGTTTGATTCTCACACCCACCTCATAAGAAAAGGTTTCAAACAATTCACCAAGACTTTAGAAATCACTTTGTATATAACAGAACAGAGGCTAATAGGTCGAAACTGACTCATCGCGATAGGTAACGACACCTTAGGCAAAAAAACCAATAGAGTTTGATTGATTGATGCCGGAATAGTAACACTCTCGAACACCTGCCTTACAAAATCATAAACAGAGGAGCCTACGGTCTGCCAGTTATGCTGGAAAAACCCGGCATTGAGACCATCAACTCCGGGGGATTTAGACGCGCCCATGCTATGCTAAACAACGCCTTATGAACCTCCTCTAAAGTAATTGCCATCTCCAAGTGATCACGATCGTACTGGCCAAAGGTAGAAAATGAACCTGGACTTGGTACGATGTTCTAGAATCAATCGTTCTCGTGAAGTTCCTTACAGAAATTTGTGGCAAGTCGAATCAGATCCTCCTTATCCGTACACCACCTTCCATCCTCCAGTTGAATGGCAGAAATACGGTTAGCTCGTCTTCTTACTACAACAAAAGTATGGAAAAAGGGAGTATTTTGGTCACTGAGTAGCGTCTACTGAGAACAAACTTCCTGACGCTAAAAAGACTCCTCCTTATCCATAACCAAATTGAGCTCAGAATTAAGATTATCCAAAAGTTGTCTCAAGCTAACTGAAGGATTTTTTGTCAGAGCCCTGTCAATACCACTCAATTGAGCCCGGAGCCTACGTTTCTTCATCCCAATATGACCGGAGATATTCTTGTTCCACATATCCACCTCATCTCAGAATTCACTAATGTTATCAATAACCAATACAGTGGGTGACCAAGTCGTTTCCAAAAAATCTTCAAACTGTGGGTACAACTGCCACACATCAATGAACCGAAAAGGCCGATTGTGATGACGAATCCGCTCATCACTAAGCGAGATCAACAGAGGACAGTGGTCGGATCCCACTCTATCCAAATGAAGTACATGAGAATCAATAAACGAAACAGACTAAACAGAATTCACAACACACTGATCAAACCGCCGATAAAGATTACCTCTGGCCCAAGTGAAAGGAAGGTCATGAAAACCCAGATCCGATAAACCTTGCGAAAATAAGAAGTCATAAAATAAGCAGCTACCGGATCTACGGTGTATCGCCCTCCAACTCTCTCATTGGCAGCAGAAAGAATGACATTAAAATCTCATTTAATTAAAAAATGGTTGTCCCTTTTTCCCATATGTATAGGGTAAGGGGAGGTAAGATAGTAGGCTACCCCCAACACCAGGTTGAGAGCAACTTCCGTAAGAGACCTCCGAATTATGAAATGCCCTCCGTGGGACTCGATCCCACGAGGTTAAAAACCTTGTGCTCTACCAACTGAACTGGATGATCATTTCTTAAAATCTCATTTAATTAATTTTTGTTTAACAATTTTAAATATAAGTTTAAAAATATATTTATGAATTTAAAAATGAATTGTGAAAATCATATATTTAAAATATTTTTTTTTTAAAATTATTACTTAAAATATTAAATTTAAAAAAAAATAAAATTTTAGTTAAAATTAAGGGAGTAAATGAGATATTTTTTATTAATTTAAGGGTTAAAGGTTACCTTTGCTCTTGTAGTAGACTCAATTTATCATTTTAGTTCTTATCGTATATTCGTATCAATCTAACCTTTAAAGTTGTTTAATTGAATTATTATATACCTTACCTATGATTTAAAACCCTAAATTATAAGCTCTGAGTTAGAATTTAATATTTATGGTTTAGAGATTATAGAGATATGATTTAAGATTTAGGGTTTATAATTTAGGGTTTTAAATTATGACTAAAATATAAAATGATGTAATTGGACACATTCGAAGATTAAATTTGATATAAAAATACGATAGCGATAAAAATGATAATTGAATCTATTACTAAGGTCAAAAGTTATCCTTTTACCTTAATTTAATATATCACATTACTCTTTAATAATAGTTTAGTGTTAGTTATTTTTAATAAAATATAAAATTTAATGTATATTTTATTATTTTTAAAAATTAAATGATAATTTTTTTTATTATAATTTGATAATTATTTATAAATTTATAACTGTACACATCGATTTGTGACATTCGCGATGGACTCATCCAAAATCTAGACTATCTTTAAAAAAGAATCTAAAAGCACCCATTAATAAAATATTTTCTGTTTTCGTCATTATATTTCAATAATTAAAAAAATAAATAAGATGCAATTTAAACGGGAAAAACGGAGAATTGGCGCTCTAAATTAAAAAGTCCAAAATATAATACAGCAGCTTAGACTTTAGTTCACAGCTGTCGGCAATCAATCACACGTGTTCTCCAACCGTAGTTCACGCCCTTCTTAACTCGTTAATCTCCGTTCCCCCCAAACCCGCGTACTTTTTGCATATTGGCGCACCGAAACGGACGCCACTTCAGTGTCTACATTCAACATAGATCAGCCAACTTTCTTGTCCTCAATCAAATCTAGATATCCCTACTTTTGGCTTCTTTCTTTCTTTTTCCATGTCTTCTTCTCTGTTAAAAAAAAATCTATGAGAAACTAAATCTCCATAGTTACCAAACTTAAAAACCTAGAAAAACAAAAAAATTTAAACGAAAATGGTGTCTCCTGGGTTATCTCATTCTCAGTACTCTCCCATGGCGAAGCCTCGAAACCGGTCGTTCCCGTGTTTCTCTGATGGTTTTCTTTACTGTGGTTGTGTATTTTTAGCTTTTTTGTTAGTTTGCTCATTTTGGTCGTTTTTCACTCCAACTCTTAACTTCGGCTCCTCTATTACCGACCCATGGTTTAACTGCAAGGAAAGTGGGTTCGGAGTTAACTTGAAGTCCGACTCCAAAGACCCGACCTTTTACGACGATCCAGAGATGAGTTACTCCATAGAAAAGCCGGTGAAAGATTGGGACGGAAAACGAAGAGAATGGTTAAAGCGTCACTCTTCGTTCGCGGCCGGAGCAAGTGAAAGAATCGTTCTGGTAACCGGGTCCCAACCAAAGCCATGTAAGAACCCCATTGGTGATCATTTACTCTTGCGCTTTTTCAAGAACAAGGTAGATTACTGCAGAATCCATGGCTACGATATCTTTTACAACAACTTGTTATTACACCCCAAAATGGGTTCTTATTGGGCCAAGTTACCGGTTGTTAAAGCAGCCATGTTGGCTCACCCTGAAGCCGAGTGGATCTGGTGGGTTGACTCGGACGCGTTGTTTACAGACATGGAGTTTAAGTTACCTTTAGAAAGGTATAAAAACCACAACTTGGTGGTTCACGGTTGGCCAAAGTTGATTTACAACAGCAAAAGTTGGACCAGTTTAAACGCTGGAGTTTTCTTGATCAGGAACTGCCAGTGGTCCATGGATTTGATCAGTACTTGGTCGAACATGGGTCCGATGGGAAAGGAGTACAAAAAGTGGGGTCAGATTCAACGATCAACCTTCAAAGATAAGCTTTTCCCCGAATCAGATGATCAATCGGCTCTGATTTACTTGCTTTACAAAGAAAAGGACAAGTATTACGACCATATATATTTGGAAGGTGAGTTTTATTTCGAAGGGTATTGGGCTGAGATTATGGGAGGGTATGAAAACACGACGGAGAGGTATCTGGAGATCGAGAGAGGGGTGCCGGAGCTGAGGAGGAGACATGCAGAGATAGTGAGCGAGCAATACGGTGCGTTTAGGGAAGGGTTCTTGAAGGAAGCTGGGAATGGGAGGGGGAGTTGGAGGAGACCATTCATCACGCATTTCACGGGATGTCAGCCTTGTAGCGGGGACCATAATCAGATGTATGCTGGGGAATCATGTTGGAAGGGGATGGTTAAAGCTTTGAACTTTGCTGATAATCAGGTTTTAAGAAAGTATGGGTTCATACACCCGGATCTACAGGATTCCTCCACCGTCACTGAAGTTCCCTTTGATTACCCTGCTGATGAGGGTCCATGGTAAAGCAACAAAGGTATGATTTTTCGTTGAATTGGACCAACTTCAGATACTTAATTGGTTCCTTGTTTATAGTTTTGCATGCCAAAGGCGTTTGCTTTATATTTCTCTTTATCGCATTACATGCTAATTGCAGAAACTTTTATGATGGTGTTGGTACTTTGGTAGGTGGGGATTTTAATGGGGATTAATGGATGGTTTTGTGTATTACTTTTGACTAAGTTTTGGGGGGTTTTCCAAGCTTGAAAGAGACTGAAAAATTCTCTTCTTCCCTCTGGCAAATCAATTCTTTAGTTGAACTCATTCCTTGTCGATTAGTTCTAAGGTTTGGTTAGGTAGAAGAAACCTATAAGGATTAAGGTATTCTTTTGAGTTTGGTAGAATTTTTTGTTTAGAACCAATTGAACTCATGGAAACTGTCATTTTCAAGTATTTACAGTCTTTCTAACTACTGTCATTACCTTTTTTTATTATTATTTCTCTTCATATATGGTAGGTGATATTGCCTTCAATGACTAATTTGGTAAAATTATAATTACTAGTAATTTTAATAGGATTTGCAACAAAATCATGGACTTATACGTTATAACTCTGATTTATTGTTTTTCTAAAATGGGAATTCTTGAAATTTTCATTTTGATTAATGATTTCAGCATCAGTGGGAAGTTGATATTTCTTTTCTTCTTTTTCCTTTTTGAATAGTGAATCAAGACAGCGATGTATGCTCCATTCATGGCCATAACTCTGCTCATCCTTTCGGGTTATTCACATTGGGCTGAAATTGCAAACAGATTCGAGCCTGATAGTTCTTGAAACCGGGATTAGTTATAGTTTAACTCAGCGCATTCAACATGAGTCAGTCCATTTGGCAATAGCATCCTACATCACAGAAACTTTTATTTTGAATGTAATTGTTTATATGTTGAAATTTACAGAAAGTGGCATGAAAGTTGATATTGTTTCTGGTTTTAGGGTGATATATAAAGACGTTCTTTATTGCATATTATGATATAATTTGGACCCCTTTTTATTATGCTTTTGTTGCTTTAAAACCTCCATTGATTTTGCCTTGGTTGTTACATGCATCAACGGCCTGTGTCGTGTTAGTGCCGACTGAAAGCATAGTAAGAGAACCAAATAATTGATTCTACAGCTAATAATGATACTAAAATCTTCCCCCCCTTCTTTTTCTCTTTTAATATTTCATTTTCTTTTATAATTTATTATGGTCTTCGACTCATCATCCGGTCACACGAGAACGCCTAGAAAGCTAAACCAAACTTGATCAAATAATTATCATTTTGGATTTCAAATAGCCCCAATTGACAAAATTATACACCCACTTTCGTCCGGAAAATATATATATATTATATATTATACTTATTATTATTATTATTATTATTATTATATTATTATTATTATTAATATTATTATTACAATGTTTGCAGGCCCTCAAGCCCAATACAACACCAGTGACCCAACATTGCAATCCAAACTGTCGACCCAAACAGATGGAACCCAACCCGAACCGACCCAAAATCCAGATCTGACCCGGTAGCATTAGGGTTTCTAACCCTAAATCCAACAGCCGCCAACAACATCTAAGCAGCCACAGCCAAACGTTTCAACCGGTTCCCCGAGCCATCCTCGAACCATCGATGAGCCATCGAGTTTCCATCTTCACCAAAGTCGGCTGAATAGTAATCGAACGATACCAAATCAATAAAAAAAAATCAGCAAATCATCACCAAAAAACCAAATCTCAACCCATTTCCCCGAGAAATTCGACGTATAATTATGTAAAAAAAACATAAAAGAAATAAGCAGTTGAGTCCTATTAGGAGTCTATAATCGAACGGAAAGAGGTTTTAGCACTATAAATACACATGTAATCAATGAGGAAAAACACAAGAAATATAGAAGAAAATACAAGAAGAAATACGAGGGGATCGAACAAAGAAAAATTCGAACGAAGAAAAAATCAGCCATATTCAAACCAAATATCGAAGGAAAAATAGAAACTCACCTCAGTTCGAAAGGACAGAAGCCAAAGGGTCGTTGGAGCCTCCACGCACCATCGGAGAAACGAGTCATCGAAGGGGAATTTTTAATCAATCGAAGGTAAGTAATTTGAATCAGGTTTTTTTAAAATTTAAATTTTTTATTTTTTGCCATTAAGACAACCAACAAATTAATTGGTATCGAAAGGGCAGTACAAGGGTGTTAATCATTCCTTGACTGTAACCGACTCCCAAACCCGACACATTTCTGGTAAAACCAGATCAGGTAAGATGGTGTCCGATCTACCTAAATATCGTTTTAAAATGATCGGTGGTGGCTCTAACACATTTCATTCAAGTTAAAGCCCAATTCCGGGCATACATGAAAGACGACCGCAGCAGCTTGGTGACTCCGCTAGGGACATGTAAGTGAGTTAGGCCGAAATTAATTTTCGGTTGTCTTTTTGAGTAAAAATTGCAAGTTTAAATTTTAATTTATTTATTCGATTTCAATTATTTATTTTTGATTATTTTTCAAATAAATAGTTGTATTGACGTTTTTTCAATGATTTCAGATCTTTAACTTTTTCCATCTAAGGTTCTATACCCGAGCTCCGAACCTTTTTAAGTGGGGGTGAAAACGACGCCTTTGTGGGAATTTATTCTCCGAATAGGCCTAGCAAGTAATCTTCGGGATTCATATACCTTATGTCTTTGTGTGAATTTATTCACCGTGCGGGCATAAAGGAATATATCCTCTCGAGTTTAACTTAGTCCACATAAACTTGTAATAAACTTAGGACTAAGGGTCTGGCAAGCCCAAGGGGGCACCAGCAAGGAGAACTCAAGTACCTTCTTTAGAACCTAAACTAAGAGACTACAAGGATTTAGAGCCCTCCCCAAAACTTCATTTCAAACCCTAGACTGCTTTGAGATTATTTCCTGCTTTATTCTCTGTTCAAAGCATGTGAACTAGAAATTTATGCGGTTAGGACTGGTTCAAAATTAACATGTGGGATAGAGACCATGTCTGGGTAGGAATAATAAGCATGCGAGGTAGATATCATGTGGGGTTGGACTTCTTATTTTCATTATTATTTTGATTTACCTCACTAACTCTTTTCATTTTTGTTCTCTTTCATTTTTATCATTTACATCAATCAAAAGAGATGTTGATCTACCAAAAATGTGTTCATTAAACATACATAATTTGCATTAATGGATAAAGGGGTTATAATACAATAGATGAAAAGCTCAGAAGTCCGACTATGGTCAGAAAAGACTAATAATGGACCGGGTTTACACCGAGCATACCAAAAGTCAACTTTTTGAGATGGCAAAGGTTGCAGGGGAAGACGAGAAAAAGGTTACTGACATGGAGAGTCCCTTCAAAAAACAACAAGAGCAAGATAGAAAAATGATAGCCAAAATTGGAGGCCATTATTGACAAATTAAAGAAGCAAGCAAGTGAGCTTCAGATAGTTCTTTTCGGTGGAGAGTTCCAATGACGTATTCGTGGAGAACATGTTCAACAGAAGATGAAAGACAGAGATGCAGTCGTTCGAGACTTCTTGGAGTATATACAAAAAACAGTCTGTGACTTGCACGGTTTAGCCAGAGAAGCCAGATCGATTCGATAGGGTACAGACGAAGGCAGAAGACGAGTCAACCTGTCAGAAGTTGTCCAGGGTCTAGAAGACTTAATGGTTTTTTTTTCTCTTAAAGAAATAACACTTTTGTCCTCAATAAGGATTATTTATAATAACAGACACATTTTTGGATCAGTACCTCGAAACTTCATGCATCATGCATTATTGCATTATTTTTCTTTTTTTTTCATTACATTCACATTAACTAACAAGAGATGTCTCATAAAAAAAAGGAACTAAAACTGGACACACCAAGCTCGTTCAAAGAAAAGGCAACTGGAAGAGAAGCTTTGAAAGCAAATTGACGTTTCCTGAAGTGTGTTTGTAAGAAGATCCAAAATAATGAATGAGATACTAGTGCGTGTTGGTAAAATCAAGAAAATTCAAGAGCAACTCGTAAAAACCCAACATGAGATGATCGATCAAGCAAAAATATTTTAGAATGAATCAAGAGAACAAATGACCAAGTTAATAGACATGGTAAATATTATGATCCATGGAGAGAAGCCACTGGTAGATCCCATTTTGGATGGGACTATGAATGATGGTGTTGAAACTGAAATAATAGTGGCGAGAGGACTTGTTAGGGAGCCAGATATTTCAGGCCAACTCTAAAATTCAAATGTGGTTACAGAAGGTTTCACTGGGCCAACAATGAATGATGAGTTAAGGAGGGATAAAGTTTCCCATATGAGAGATAAGAAGAGAGGCATAGAAGAAAACCAAACATTGACCAAGAAAGCTAAGAAGGATCAATCTCCTGTGATTAGAGGTTCTAACCCTTTACAATCATTCAATCAAGACACTCAATTTCTATTTATAAAGCCATTACCAAGTAGTCTCTCATCATGGGGACTAAATGAGAAGAAAAAAAGAGTGCAAGGTTTTCAATTCCCTCATTTCCACTTTTCGCTTGAAAAATTACGTTAAAAAAATGCTCACAGCCGGATTGGTTACACCGGGATATGTATTCCATAGTGGCCCCCTAATAAGACGTGGACTTATAAGGAGATTCCTTTGATAAACCAGGATAGAACCTCAGTTTGTTCAGTTAAGGTTCCTAACAACCTTGAGGATCCTTTAGAACAAGCAATTCATGGGTGCAAGGTAGAAGAGAAATGGATCAAGGTCTAAAACTTGGAAGTCGTTTCTTCAACAGAGAATTCATGTGAAGAACGCAAAGCGCAAAATGGTGAAAAAGAAAATCCAAACAGAAGGGCTTCCATGAATGTAATTTGAGAATGATCAGTGTGTTTGAGAATGGATGGGGCAGATGCAGCCAGGAAGAACGTCAAACTGCTTCGATAGAGGATTCATTCGAAAAACATAAGGCACAAGAGGATAAGGAAGAAAATCCAAGCAAAAGGGCTTCCATGAATGTAGTCAGTGATTGGCCCGTGGGTTTAAGAATCAGTGGGACAGACGCAACTTTGAAGATACCTCAAACACCTATATTAGATTTCTTGAAGGCAAGAGGGATTTTTGGCAACTTAGAAGGCTTGACGAATATTACGCCATTCACAGCTATAATATGCGTTCGAGATCCAACCAAAACTATCACCATCAAGGAATATCGCTTTGGATCTAAATTTTGGCCAATTTCCACCCAGGAAAAGAAAAACTGATAAATCACAAGGAAGTGGGATTTTCCCAAGAAGTTGCTCATGAGGAAGCAGAAATTTACGTGTCTGAGGGTATATCAAAAGGAGCCCCGGCAAGTGAAACGATTGAGAAATGAGGAGCAAGTCCAACTAGTGGGGCATCCTAATGAGGCATTATTTCATTTTGCGGCATCCTATTTGAATTAGTTTTTTGAACTTTATCATATTGGGAACTTGTTTTTGAACTTTCTTTTTATATGGATATTTGAATGAATTTATGCTGAGCATTGAACCAAATTTACAATTTGAAATTCTTTGAATATCAACTGAATTAAAAAATTCTGCAAATGAATCAAAGTTACAGATCTTTGACAAAGTGACATGATTAAATTTGATAAAACCTTTCTCTTGCAAAAATCGATATTTACATTCTCCTCTCATAAAGGAAAGAACAAGAGGCTTGGTATTATGTATGGATAGGAGCGGACAACATGGGGCATCCCTTGCATATGACATTATTATACTTTTGTTGAGGATGTTCAATGATGATAATGATCTTTACAGATATAATAGTCGAGTATGTGAATCTAGTTCAGATCAGTCGCTTGGAAATTAAACTTTAAAGATGAGATTCATTGACTTTTAACAACACATAGACTATAATAGGTTCTTCTTGACAAACTTAAGAAATTAGACCCGTATACCCAGATTATAATATTATATATAT